AAAATGAATTATTAATATCATTTAAACTGCTTCAATCAATCTTCACTTAATAAACAATGAGAAAGGCATGAAAAGCAAACAGCAGTGCAGCAAACGACATCCCTCATTCTTCAGGATTGCTGTAAATAATTAAACATCCACCATCAGATGAGCTCCGGACAAGCACAACACTGAAATCTTTACAAGCTTCGGATGTGCTTTAGATTGGGTTTCTTTAGTCTGTAACAAGACGCTTCAGCCTCTGAGCATGAAATCTGAGCATGCAAAGATTCTCTGGGTTAATAACAACTATTAATATCACAACACAAGCTTTCAGAGTGATCCAATAAAGCAGCAGATCCTCAAACAGAGGCGGATTGTGTTGCTTAACAAATGTGTGAAACACAGAACAGAAGCAGAGGAGATGCTGACTCCAGTGCTCAACAATCCTTTTAGAAAATAAACAGACTTCATGAAGAAGGTGAGAGACAATGATTCATTTCAGCATGACGGAGATCTCTGGATGCTAAACTCAACTAATGGCATCACAGTTTCAAGTTATCTTGAAATGATGCAACAAGACATCAAAAGGAAAATGCATGATCAAATGAGTCCTGTGAGTCATAATAACCCAAACACACAACTATTCAGTGCAATATAACAACCCAACGTTGGGTCAAATATGATCAAACCAAAAATAAAAGAATTTTTTTTTTAATAAAATATTTAATTACACTTTTCAATCTAACAGTTGGGTTTGTGCATATTTGACCCCACATTGGGATGCAACAACCCAGTATTTTGGTCATCATGAGGCTCACAATTTAAATGCAACTATTCAGCAAAACATGCCATAAATCAATCTCTTCAGTGTGATATAATAAATGGACAGTCACATCGCCACTCTACTAGAACCATCCTCACATTCTGTGAACACACTCGAAAAATACTGGGTTGTTTTAACCCAATGTTGGGTCAATGTTTTAAACAAACGCAACATTGAGGTTTTTTTTTTTTTTTTTATTAAATTAAAATGTCACTTTTTAACCCAAAGGTTGAATGACCCATTCATTTATTCATTTTCTGCTTAGTTCCTTTATTAATCAGGGGTCACCACAGTGGAATGAACCACCAACTTATCAAGCATACTGTATGTTTTACGCAGAGGATGCCCCTCCAGCTGGACTCATTACTGGGAAACACTCATACACACATACACTACGACTAATTTAGTTCATCAATTCCCCTCTAGTACATGTGTTTGGACTGTGGTGGAAACCAGAGCACCTGGAGAAAAACCCACGCCAATACAAGGATAGCATGCAGACTCCACACAGAAATGCCAACTGACCCAGCCGGGACTCAAACCAGCAACCTTCTTGCTGTGAGGCGACAGCGCTACCCACTGCGTCACGCCATCACTTGGTTACATTTTTTTTTAAAATTCAACTGAAATGACACTTTTTACCAATTGATTGGTTTGTTGACCCAACATAGATTTTGTTATGTGATGTGACTGTCCTGTTTATTACACCGGATCACTCTAAAGAGGCTGATTTTGTTGTTGTTGTTGTTATATTAAACGTACACTTTTCAACCTAATAAAAGCCTTGGAGTAACGATTGATGACCAACTAAACTTCTCTGACCACATTACTAGAACTGCTCGATAGTGCAGATTCGCACTCTATAACATCAGAAAGGTTCGACCCTTCTTATCTGAACGTGCAGCTCAACTCCTTGTTCAAGCTCTTGTTCTCTCCAAACTGGACTATTGCAACTCTCTACTAGCCGGGCTTATAGCTAACTCTATCAAACCTCTTCAGCTGCTTCAGAACGCAGAAGCTCGAGTGGTCTTTAATGAACCTAAAAGAGCACATGTCACTCCGCTGCTCATCCGTTTGCACTGGCTGCCAGTTGCTGCTCGCATCAAATTCAAAGCTCTGATGTTTGCTTACAAAGCGACTTCTGGCTTTGCCCCTTCTTATCTGCTCTCACTTCTGCAGATGTATGCGCCCTCCAGAAACTTGCGTTCGGTGAATGAACATCGCCTCGTGATTCCATCCCAAAGAGGGAAGAAATCACTTTCCCGAACTCTCGCATTCAATCTGCCCAGTTGGTGGAATGAACTCCCTAACTGCATCAGAGCTCAACTCAACTATTTAGTCTCCACCTTCCTTCCTAATCTGCAATTGCCTCTCTGGCTATACCACTAACTAAAAAATAAATAAAAATTCTCACATTACTAATACTTTCCTTCTTAGACTTTACACACCTGAAACTTGCCTACAGCACTTATTCATTGTTGCTCTTAGTTGTGTAAATTGATTCCTTGTCCTCATTTGTAAGTCGCTTTGGATAAAAGCATCTGCTAAATGACTTAATGTAAATGTAATAGTTGAATTTGTCCATATCTGACCCAATCTTGAGTTAAAACAACCCAGCATTTTTTGAGTGCATGTTCAACATAAAGCTCTTTTCACTGAAGCTCAACATTTGAAATGCAACTATTAAAACAAGCCACAGGAATTAGTCTCTTATGACTGATCATCGCATTATTAAAACAATCCTGACAGTCTGTAAACGCCAAGCTTATATCAACCAAACATTGGGTCAAAAACAGACAAATTCACAATTGGGTTCATTCATTCATTCATTTTCTTGTCGGCTTAGACCCTTTATGAATCCGGGGTCGCCACAGCGGAATGAACCACCAACTTATCCAGCACGTTTTAACGCAGCAGATAAAGCAGCTCATTCACACTCATACACTACGGACAATTTAGCCTATAGTACACCTGTACCGCATGTCTTTGGACTGTGGGGGAAACCGGAGCACCCGGAGGAAACCCACACGAACGCAGGGAGAACATGCAAACTCCACACAGAAACACCAACTGAGCCAAGGCTCGAACCAGCGACCTTCTTGCTGTGAGGCGACAGTGCAAACCACTGTGCCACAGCATCGCCCACAATTGGGTTCATTATTTTAAAAATTAATTTTAAATGAGACTTTTAACCCAATGACTGTTGGGTTTGTCCCTATTTGACCCAATATTTGATGTTGGTTATGATAACCCAGCATGTTTTAGAGTGTGTTAAACTCTTTCCACTGAAGCTCAGTGTTGATCTCTGAGTGTGTTTGTGCAGAAATGACTCCACCATGAACATCTCCTTCAGTCAGACTCAAACTCTTAAATTCAGACTACACTTCTCAATCCAGCGGTTGCATTTCTCCATATTTGACTCACCCTTGGGTCAAGCATTTTCCCACTATGTTCAGCTCTTTTCACTGAAGCTCAACAATTGAAATGCAACTATTAAAACAATAACTCAACCTCTGTAGAGTGATCTAATACAGTATCAGGAGGACAGTCTCGTCATCACTCTACTAGAACAACCCTCACTCTCTTTAAACACATGCTGGGTTGTTGTAACCCAATGTTGGGTCAATTATTGACCAACCCAACACTATTTTTTTGTTTAGCTCAATTGAAATTTTAATTTTACTAAACAAAAAAATCAACGTTGGGTTGGTCACTAATTGACCCAACATTAGGTTGGAATGACCCAACATTAGTTTAAAACAACCCAGCATTTGTTCACGTGTTTACAGTGTGTCGGGATTGTTTTTATGTGATGATGTGACTGTCCTTCTGTTTATTACAGATCACGAGATTAATTTTCAGTTATATTTAATGCACACTTTTCAACCCAACGGTTGTATTTGTTCATATCTGACCCAATCTTGTGTTAAAAAAAAACAACATTTTTCAAGTGCATGTTCAACACAGAAGCTCAACATTATAAAAGCAGATAGCCCACTAAAACAAGCCAAATGAAGCCATCACGTGTCATTTATAGACAAACCCAACATTGGGTTAATTTTATAATCAATCGAAATGATGCTTTTCAACCCAACACTGGGTTATTATGATAACCCAGCATGTTTTAGAGTGTGTTAAACTCTTTCCACTGAAGCTCAGTGTTGATCTCTGAGTGTGTTTGTGCAGAAATGACTCCACCATGAACATCTCCTTCAGTCAGACTCAAACTCTTAAATTCAGACTACGCTTCTCAATCCAGCGGTTGCATTTCTCCATATTTGACTCACCCTTAGGTCAAGCATTTTCCCACTATGTTCAGCTCTTTTCACTGAAGCTCAACAATTGAAATGCAACTATTAAAACAATAACTCAACCTCTGTAGAGTGATCTAATACAGTATCAGGAGGACAGTCTCGTCATCACTCTACTAGAACAACCCTCACTCTCTTTAAACACATGCTGGGTTGTTGTAACCCAATGTTGGGTCAATTATTGACCAACCCAACACTATTTTTATGTTTAGCTAAATTGAAATTTCAATTTTACTAAACAAAAAAATCAACGTTGGGTTGGTCACTAATTGACCCAACATTAGGTTGGAATGACCCAATATTAGTTTAAAACAACCCAGCATTTGTTCACGTGTTTACAGTGTGTCGGGATTGTTTTTATGTGATGATGTGACTGTCCTTCTGTTTATTACAGATCACGAGATTAATTTTCAGTTATATTTAATGCACACTTTTCAACCCAACGGTTGTATTTGTTCATATCTGACCCAATCTTGTGTTAAAACAACCCAGCATTTTTCAAGTGCATGTCCAACGCGGAAGCTCGACATTTTAAAAGCAGATAGCCCACTAAAACAAGCCAAATGAAGCCATCACGTGTCATTTATAGACAAACCCAACATTGGGTTAATTTTATAATCAATCGAAATGATGCTTTCAACCCAACACTGGGTTATTATGATACGCCAGCATGTCTCAGAGTGCGTGTTCAACATGACGCTCGTTTCACTGAAGCTCAGCATTGATCTCTGAGTGTGTTTGTGCAGGGATGTCTCCAGCATGAGCGCATCTCCTTCAGACTCAAACCCTCAGCTGTAAACATGTTGTGTGTGTGTGTGTGTGTCTTTCAGCACAGCAGCTCTTTGTTGTGAAGCTCCAGCAGGAGAGCGCAGTGTTTTACTCACACGTAAGCGTGGTAGATGAACGCCCATCCGCGCGGTCTCTCCAGCACATTGTAGAGGAAATTCTGCAGGCGTCGGTAAAACGCGTTGCGCTTGGGCGGCCGCTTGCCGGAGATGCTGGAGCGCTGTTTGCTGAGGATGCTGCCGCGCTTCGACGCCTCGGCTCCCGCGATCAGCAGCGCTCCGTCCCGGCTGCACTCCGGCGCGCCCGCCTCCACACCCACGAAGCCCACCTTCAGCTTTTTCTCGGCCTGCGGGGCGGCGGGAAACACGCCGCCGTTGCGGGATTTCTGCACCATCCCGGAGGCGCAGCCGTCATGGAGATCCGCTGGTGCTGATGCTGGTGCTGCGGCTCTCCCGCCCTACAGCAGGTGCGAGCATCACTGAGAGAGGGAGAGAGAAAGAGAGAGAGAGAAGGTGCGCGCGGAAGAACCACAAGCCAATAGCGACACGAAGACGATCTGCAGCCTCACACACACACACACACAGCGCGCACACTCGCACTCTCTCTCGACTCTCCCTGGAGAACTTGTTCTGGTATTGAGATGAAAACAAGAGCTGTAATAAGACCGGAACACCATATTAAACAAGGATTAGGATTAGTAAGAATATATTTACCTTAATTATGTGAATTAGTTTATATATATTTATATATATATTTATACAACAGTTCTGTCTGGTTCTCAAATCTGATTGGCTGATAGCCGTGCGATATTCTGCGATATCAGAACTCCTACAGCCTCTTTACCATTTGTGTATTACTCCGCCCACATACAGCCAGCAAAAAGCACACTGATTTAATAACTGTGACAAAGTGAAAATATAGGCTAGTGTCATTTCCAAATGAGAGAAAAACACAAACCATGGTGAAAACAACACACGAAATAAAACACAAACGGCTCAAGAATAGAATGAACAGCAAATCAGCCAGCAGAGCATCAATAACAGACTCTCTCTGGTCTCTCTCTCTCTCTCTCTCTCTCTGTGTGTGTGTGTGTGTGTGTGTGTTAAAGAGCCGCTGAGCTAACAGCTGACAGGCCGGGAACACACACACACTGTATTTCTGACGGCAGACACGTGAACTAGGAGAACTTTTTTCTCGTATTTCTGACGCGCTTGAACCACATGTGACAGATTATAACGGCTTTAACAGACACATTTCTAAGTTGTGTGTCACAAAAACAGTCTGTTATCCATTAAAAACGTTATTGAAACCCATTTTCGGAGCGCAAATTACCAGTTGTACACGCAGTGCACGGAAATTTTTAGCATTCTACCAGAAGACGCTTGTCGCTACGGCGCCCACCATGCAGCAGCCATGAAAAAGGTCTATACACACAATTATGCCGTCAAACTGTTGTCTAAACACAATATCACACTCGTAGCAGTGCGATATGGCTGTATATCGGCACTGGTGGAGGCACTAAGGCACCCAACATGTGGCCTACTGCCAACGCACGCCACCCACCAGTGACGATATACAGCCATATCGCACTGCTATGAGTGTGATATTGCTCATATATATATATATATATATATATATATATATATATATATATATATATATATATATATATAAATACACATATATAAAAAAAAATATATATATATAAAAAAAAAAAAATATATATATATATATATATATATATATATATATATATATATATATATATATATATATATATATATATATATATATATATATATATATATATATATATCTATATATATATATATATATATATATATATATATATATATATATATATATATATATATATATATCTATATCTATATATATACATATATACTTTT